GCTCACTGTGTTTGCAAACAGACATTGAATAAGAAAAATATTGGGTTGGTCAGTAAGTTCATTTGATGTGGTGGAAAAACCTGAATCAAGTTTTTGGCCAACCCAATATTATTGTCTAGCTATATTGTTTGCTTTTTGAATTAGTTGACTAGAGCTGCTGTAATAAAATTCTACAGACTGGGTGGCTTAAACAGTACAGATTTATTGTTTCATGGTTCCAGAGGCTGGAAGTCTGGAGTAGTAAGTGGGGTGCACCCTCCTTAGTGATGTGAAGCAGATTCTCTTCCAGACTTTTGGCCTAGCCTCTGGCGACTTGTTGGACATCTTTGGTCTTCCTTGGCTTGTAAAAGTATCACCCAGATCACTGTCTTCACCTTTATGTAGCATTCTCCCTGTGGGCTTCCCAGGTGGCGCTAGTGGTAAAGAACCCGCCTGCCAATGCAGGAGATGTACGAGACATGGGTTCAATCCCTGAGTTGGGAAGACTTCCTGAGGAGGGCATGGAAACCCACTCCAGTATCTTTGCCTGGAGAATTCCATGGACAGGGGAGCCTAGTGGGCTATAGTCCATCGGGTCACAAAGAGTTGGCTGTGACTGAAGTGACTTAGCATGCACACACACATACTCCCTGTGGACATTTTTTGGTGTCCAACTCTCTTTTTTATAAGGACACCAATGATATTGGATTAGGACTCACCTGGATTACCTCACCTCAGCTAATTATAACTTCATTAATCCTGCTTTCAAATAAAGTCACATTTTGCTGCGGTCGGGTGCTGGGTGTTCAGAATTCAGCTTATGAATTTTGTGGGGGTATGAGATTCAACCCATAACCAAGTGTGTTCATACTAGCTTTTAAACTGAGAAAAGCTGTCTAACAGAGATCTCTGTTGTTTTTCTTTCTTGCTGTAAGACTTTTTTTCTGTATTGCAACTTCTGGTCCAGATGGAGTGGACATGTGTTTGCTCCTCTGAACTGACTTGTCTCCTAATCGTCATTGAAAGCAACTCCCTAGCCACTGGGAACATCTTCCTCCAATCCTAAGGGCTTCCCCAGGACTCGTCCTTTGGATGGGGGCAGGGGCTGTGCTTTTCCTTTCCTAGTGATCTGAGCTGCTTCCTGCCCAGATCCCAGAGTTTTCTTCTCTAGCGGGCTTTATTTTGATTAGAATGTTCTGAATCTTCTGTACTCTGTAGGTGGAACACCCAGCATGGATGCAATGCTTTGACTAGTTCTGGCCAAACTAGTGCTGCTGCTGATTGGGCTATTAGAAGCTTTACTCTAAGTAATGTGGTCCCCTGGATGGAATAAATGTTCTTCCGAGACTCAGGTGGGATGTGACTACTGAGAGAAAGGAAGATAAGCTTTGTTGGGAGAATTGAGGCTGCCTATTCCCAAGTGGATGGGCTACAAGACAGATGGGAGAGGGAGGAGATATGGGGGAAGGTGCTTAGCCCTCAGCGCTCCTCCCCTTGAGTGTGTCCTCACCATGTTCTCTTTCTGGGACACACATTTCTGGAGGACCCTCCAGAATCTCCCCCACCCAGCAGCAGAGGCCGCTCTTTTCAGTTATGGGCTGAAAGCCTTAGGTGATTCCCCAAACTCAGTCCGAGACCCAAATATTTCTCCTGAACTCTCAGACTCTATTTCCTTTTGATCTCATCATTTATTCACCATTTTTTTCATTCCACGAAGGAAAAGACTGGCTGAAACAGGGGTAGAGTGGAGGAGGGGAGAGTGCTCTGGGCATAGAGACACATGGCCAAAAGGTCAAAGGTGATAGAGAATGTGGCCTGTGCCTAAAATGAAAGAAGGTGAATCTAGCTGGAGGGGAGGGTGAAGGGGAGTGAGTGTAAGAGGACAAATGGAGAAATAGTTGGCACTCACATCAGGAAAGCTTCCACATGGAAGATTGGATTATCCTGAGAGCACTGAATGGTCTTAAATATGAGAGTGTGAAAATTAATAAACAAAAACCTCAATCGGAAAAGAGTTGGGAGGCCAGAAGGGGGAGCTCTCGTGCCCTTTGAGGATGGCAGAGCCCAACAGGAAGAAGAGAGTTCCTGGCAAGGAAGGGCTCAGCCAGTGAGAGCCTGTCACAGGGCAGCCAATGAAAAGCTTCAGACTCTCCATTCCTCCAGTGGGTGCTTGTTAACTGCAGGCCTCCCAACATTTTCCACCCCTCTGTAAAAGAGTTCTCCACTTCTTGTTGCATGAGACTTGCACATGGCTCACCATGGCTGTAGTCCCCCAATTGCAGTTCTTTACTGATCCTAAGTAAACCCATTTTTGCTGGAGAAATAACTGGCAGCCTATTTGTTTAAGGTCAACAGGAGTGACATGAAAGATTACTCTGGAAGGATGTGGAAAATGATTTGGATAGAGGTGAGATTAGAGTCAAAAGACAATTTAAGGGACTATTACAATAATGCAAATATTCACTCACTCACTCATGAGTTCCTAAGTGTCCTCCCTGGGTCTGTAGGGAGTAGGTGGAATGAGCGAGGGATTGCGGCACCTTAGTAACTTCTGCTGACAGCTGGCGAAGGCTGCTCTCTGTTCTCTTCACTGGGATGAAGCAACTCCTAGGCTGGCATACTCTGGACTGAGCCCTGTGCTTTTTTTTTTTTTTTTCTTTTTTCCTCGTTCTGAAAAAATACTGGGAGAGCAGGAGGCTGTCAGCTGTGTTTCCTGCTTCACAAGGAGAGCTTTGTCTGAAGAAGTTTCAGAGTGCAAAAGTCAGATTGAATACAATGGAGACACAAAATGAAATTGCTCTTTACAAGAAATACAGGTGCAATAAAATGGAGATACACTTGTTTTAACGCTGCACATGTCCTGAGGATTTCTAAAGGCTACTGAGTAGGTTAAGCAAAAGTGCAGTTAGGAAAGGAAAGGGGGAAGGCGGGTCAGAGAGGGTAGTGGGAGTGTGTGTGAATGTGTGTGGGAAGTGTGGATTGGACAGACTTGGTGGAAGTGCTTTGAGCACCAATTAAAAGCCCAGTATGTCACAGAGGCTACACTGGAGGAAGGACCAGTCTCGTCCCTGCCCAGTTCTCTCTCCCCACAGGCAATTCTCTCCTCTGTACCCTGTTGTTTGGCATTGCCTCTGTGTGGAGAGTATGAGCTTCTCTCCACTGATACTGCACAAGTGCTCTGGATCAGAGACCACAGAGAGAGAGGGGTGAGAAACAGAACACTCCATATACTGCCTCTGCCAAAGGAGAGAATCACTCTCTTAAAAAAGACTCTCTAACACAGGTCTAGGTTACTTTCTATTACTTAGAATTTGGTATTTTATACACGCGCTTCCCAGGTGGCACTAGTGTTAAAGAACCTTCCTGCCAATGCAGGAGATGTAAGAGACACAGGTTTGATCCCTGGGTCAGGAAGATCTGCCAGAGGAAGGCACAGAAAGCAACTCCATTATTCTTGCTTAGAGAGTCGCACGGACAGAGGAGCCTGGCAGGCTATGGTCCATAGGTTTGCAAAGAGTTGGACACGACAGAAGTGTCTTATATTGTATCGTCACCCTGCTTATTTAACTTATATGAAGAGTACATCATGAGAAATGCTTAGCTGGAAGAAGCACAAGCTGGAATCAAGATTGCCAGAAGAAATATCAGTAACCTCAGATATGCACATGATACCACCTTTATGGCAGAAAGTGAAGAAGAACTAAAGAGCCTCTTGATGAAAGTGAAAGAGGAGAGGGAAAAAATTGGCTTAAAGCTCAACATTCAGAAAACTAAGATCATGGCATCTGGTCCCATCACTTCCTGGCAAATAGATGAGAAAACTGTGGAAACAGTGGCTGACTTTATTTTTTGGGGCTCCAAAATCACTGCAGATGGTGATTGCAGCCATGAAATTAAAAGACACTTGCTTCTTGGAAAGTTATGACCAAATTAGACAGCATATTAAAAAGCAGAGACATTACTTTGCCAGCAAAGGTCCATCTAGTCAAGGCTATGATTTTTCCAGTAGTCATGTATGGATGTGAGTCGGACTATAAAGAAAGCTGAGCACCAAAAAATTGATGCTTTTGAACTGTGGTGTTGGAGAAGACTCTTGAGAGTCCCTTGGACTGCAAGGGGATCCAACCAGTCCATCCTAAAGGAGATCAGTCCTGGGTGTTCATTGGAAGGACTGATGTTGAAGCTGAAACTCTAATACTTTGGTCACCTGATGCGAAGAACTGACTCATTTGAAAAGACCGTGATGCTGGGAAAGATAGAAGGCAGGAGGAGAAGGGGACGACAAAGGATGAGATGATTGGATGGCATCACCGACTCAATGGACATGAATTTGAGTAAACTCTGAGAGTTGGTGATGGACAGGGAGGCCTGGCATGCTGCGGTCCTTAGGGTCACAGAGAGTCGGACATGACTGAGCGACTGACCTGAACTGAAGTGTCTCAGCATGCATGCACATACTTTATACAAAGAGTCAGCCATCAGTTCAGTTCAGTTCAGTCATTCAGTCGTGTCCGACTCTTTGCGACCCCATGAACTGCAGCACTCCAGACTTTCATCACCAACTCCCAGAACTTACTCAAACTCATGTCCATTGAATCGGTGATGACCTCCAACCATCTCATCCTCTGTCATCCCCTTCTCCTCCTGCCTTCAATCTTCCCCAGCATCAGGGTCTTTTCAAATGAGTCAGTTCTTCGCATCAGGTGACCAAAGTATTGGAGTTTAAGAATCAGTCCTTCCAATGAATATTCAGGACTGATTTTCTTTAGGATGGACTGGTTGGATCCCCTTGCAGTCCAAGGGACTCAAGAGTCTTCTCCGACATCACAGTTCAAAAGCATCAATTCTTCGGTGCTCAGCTTTCTTCATAGTCCAACTCTCATATCCATACATGACTACTGGAAAAACAAAGGCTTTGACTAGACGGACCTTTGTTGACAAAGTAATGTCTCTGCTTTTTAATATACTGTCTAGGTTGGTCATAACTTTTCCTCCAAGGAGCAAGTGTCTTTTAATTTCATGGCTGCAGTCACCATCTGCAGTGATCAGTCATCAGCTCTTTATTGAGTGCCTACTATATTTCTGCATTGCTGTAGGGGCTAAGCTTGCAGTCAAGACTGGAACTGCAGACTGGCAGTTTGCAGATCTTAAGTGTTTTGTGTGACTTGACTGGTGTTATTCATTCATTCATTCATTCATGTCTGAATGCCTTTAGATGGAGCAATTGCTTGTCAGTGAGTTATAGCTGTCCTACACCTAGTTTTTGTTTTACTTGGGATTCATGTGAGAAGAGATCCCCACACATGAAAGGCTTGTGTCCCTCAATTCAGGGTGTGAATCAATGTTTTGGGCAAAGAGAATCTGAGACTGCAGGCACCTGAGAGAGCTGAGCTGCAGGGAGCAGCTGGGAGGCTTTGAGGCATCACGCTTGCTCTCTGAAGTCAAAATGGTTAAAGTGCCATTGAACTTTTTTTTTTTTTCTGCCTAACACAGCTTCTACTTGCAAAAGTTTCAGACTTTGGTCCCTAGACAAGTTGGAGTTTAGAGGAAGCAAGTGATTGGAATGACTAAAGAGGATGCTTTCAAAATGTATTTCCAATGTTAGGTCCAAAATGAGATGAGGCAGGGGTGGAGCTCACTTCCTCAGTCTGGACACCCTCTTCTGAGCTGACTTCATCCTTCCTCTGATTCATTCTCAGCATTACTGAGCTTAGACTGCAGCCTGCGTTTTGAGGAGTTAACTGGGTCTTACGCTTCCTGCTCCTGAATGCTCCTATCCTTTTAGTCACTTAGTCATTCATTCAACTGACTCCTGAGCACCTCACGTGTACTAGGCACTGTCTTAGATCCTGAGGTGCAGCAATGAACAGTGCAGACACTAGTTCTTACATGTGTGGTATTTATATTTTGGTGTGTGTAGGAGGAAGGGGAAATGGACCGTAATGTAAATCAGTAAATTACATGGTATGTTAGGAGATAAAATGCTATGGGGAGTGGGACAGGACAGCCACTGATTGAGGCACATGGGGAAATGATGCCATGTTAAACAGAGTGGTCAGAGAAGACCACCGAGAAAGTGACATTTGATTCAGGACCTGAAAGAAAGGAACAGTAATGTGGCTGTCAAGGGGAAGAATATTCCTCTTCAGTGCAAAGGCCCCGAGGCAGAAACTGGCCAACTGTGTCAGAAGAACAGGGAGCCGGCCAGGGGGATGGAGATAGGCCAGGAGAGCAACTGTGGGTGGAACGTGGAAGGCCTTGTAGGTGACTGTGGGGACTAACGTTCACTCTAATGAGGACAAGAGTCGTTGCAGGGATTTATGTAGTATCATGATCCACTTACCTTTTTTAGGACCGTTCTGATAGACTGTAGGAAGCAAGGGTGAGAGCAGGGGTTCACTTCAGAGGCTGCTGCAGTGGCTCAGGTAAGAGGCAATAATGCTTGGACCAGAGTGGGGCAGTGGTCATGGTGAGAAGTGCCTGGATTGTGGACCTACCTACATCCTGAAGACGGAGGGACCATGTATCTTCTGGTCACTGTGGTCTCACTGAGGGGTGAGCAGATTGGGAATTTATTCTCTCTGCTCTGTGCCAAGCAGTGTCCTATGTGCTTCACATACAGTGTCATCTCATTAATCCCCTGCCATCCTGATGAGGTCGATGGGGTTTGCCTTATTGTAAGGAAGACGTCAGAGCCTGAAGATGTGACTAAGACTAACTGGCCCACAACGCGTATAAAGGGTTGAAGTGGGTGTCCCGTTGGCAGTGATCTCCTCTCCCTCCCCCAAACTGAAGAAGCCTTGGTAATTTCCAGTTCCAGTGAATGGTGTTGGTGTTCTGCCTGAATGAGGTCAGCATTAGCTGTGACTCAGCTAGGAGTGTCTGAAAGATGGAGCCTTTGCGGAGCCCTGGAAATCTCCTGGTATGTCCACATGTCAGGTGGTTCTGCAGATGGTGTGTGTGGTGGGGGGGGCTTGGGGATTCCCCTGGTGCTTATCTTCACTCCCCGCAGGACTCAGGCTGGGCCCGCCCTCTGCAACTGTGTCCTGAGCAGCCTTCTCTTGACCGGTTGTAGTTTTGGTTGGCCCTTGAACTTCACTTTTTAACCACAGCCTGGACCAAGTAAAACCCAATTCTATCCTGTATAAGTTAAGTCCAAAAGAAATAGAAGCCTAGTTTGGACCCAAATCTAAACTTGTGCACACAATAGGAAATTGAATGGATTTTTCTATTGACCCAGAAATTGGTGACCAAGGCTGAAACAAAGGATAAAGTTTTTGCTAAGAGAGAACCAACAGCATCTGGGTTTAACACTTGTACTGCTACCATCAGCTCTGGGCTGGGAATCTCCTCAGTTTGAGAAGAAAGGAAACCATGGCTGAGGTCATTGTCATACATGGGTCACTGTGAGAAGTGAATGTCTTACCTTCCACATGACCTGCAAGTCAAATGAGGGGGAAGTCAAGAGAATTCTTGACTTCCTTGAGTTGAAAGAGGGTGTTCTTACAATAAGAAGATGAAGCTCATATTCTAATTCCAGATTACATGTCTGCTTGGATTGCCTGATACCTGGAAAAGCAGGAGAAGAGAATATGAGGGAGAGAGAGAACCGTGAACACAGAGCCAAACAGGGACTAACTAGCCTGCTTGTGTGTACTTGGTATTACAGGGAGGGTGTGAGTTCTTCCTGAGTCTAGAGACAGAGTGGAGAGGGCTGGGTTGACCACACTCTGCCCATCGTGCCTGTTGCCTGATGGATGGTGGCCCCCAGCAGCAGAAACTGTGGTATGTGGTGGTATAGTGTCTCAGTCCATAAGTGCTGCTATAACAAAATCATGATGGACTGGGCAGCTTAAACAACAAGCATTTATTTCTCTCCATTCTGGAGCCTGGGAAATCCAAGATCAAGTCCTCCGACAGGTTTGGCATCTGCTGAAGAACCATAGATTCTATCTTCTTCTTGTGGCCTCATGTGATAGTAGGGATGAAGGAAATTTGGGGGGAGGGGCTCTTTTATAAAGCACTAATCCCATTCATGAGGGCACCATCCTATGACCTAATCACCTCCCAATGGCTTATCTCCTAATACCTTCCCATTAAGGGTTGGGTTTCAACAAACAGAATTTGAGGGGTGATACAGACATTCAGTCGTTAGCACAGATGAGAGATAAGAGCTAGAATTGAGAAGTGTTCAGGGGAGGGGGTAACCTCAAAGAAGTCCAGGTGTAGGGTTGTGGTTTCACCAGCAGAGTGAAGTAGTGATGCTTGCATTCTTCATCTACTCTGTTCCCATTCCAGCACCAGATAGCCAGACCTTGAAGGGCTGGGAGGACAAAGGGGTCAGAGCCCCTCTTTGCGAGCAGTCAAGGTCCATGTCAGCCTTGCTTGTAAGGAGAGGAGAAGATGAGATTAAATTTGACACAGAAGTTTTAAACATACCTGACTTTTAATAACCAATAATGATCAGAAGGTCATGAAATTTGAGGAGCATGTTGTTAAGGGATGGGAATGGGAGATTGGATGAGATATGATCAAAGGCAGTGAATGGAGAAAACTCATATTTATATCTCATCATGTTGAGATTGCTCAATAAATGAGATGTAGACATTTAAAAATCTCATCACAGTAGAACTAATATCAGAACACCAGCAGTTATTCAAACATACCCCTGCAACGACCTATGTGGCAGCCATACCTGGATTCCCTCATCTAGGTGGGCTATGTGGAGCCCCTGGAGTTCCTCTGGCCAAAGTGAAGAACTGAATACCACCCACGTCACAGAAACAAGCACAGAAGCTCTTTGAAAACATTTAGTGAGCACCAATTGATTGCATGAGTAATTAAAGTATACACAACAAGGAGGAAACAAAAGGAAGTCTCTACTAAACATCTTGCAGTTGGGAAAACCCCAAAGAGGCAGCAGGCAGCCACCATCTGAGACAAGCCTCATCCACGCTGATGAGAATGTTCTTGGCCAACTTTTCCCAATCGTGAATTTTATGGACTGTTTGGAACAATGACAGTCACTGGGACTGCCTGAATTCTTAATCCTCCTGAGTTAGCGAGTATTCCCAACAGCTGAGAACTCGCTAATGAAGGGCATCCTTGTGAATAAACCTTCCTATATAAGCACTGAGGACTTTTTCATGCAGATGGAAAACCCATTCATAATTCCCCCAATTCCTTCCTTCCTAACAGAATATCTGCCTTCTTCATGGCATATGTTGTGTTTTGGCCACAACATATATAAATTTTTACACAGCTGTAATCATAGTGCAGATGGAACTTGGGTCTGTTCTTTAACTGTCAGCAGAGACTTCTAACTACTCCTCTTCAAAGCTATAGAATATTTTATAGCCACTGTGTGGGCACATTGGACTGTTCTTATATGCTTATTAGTATTTTTAAGGTCTTATATGCTCCTGTATATGAACAACTTCATACAGGTAGTTTTGTCCTCTTGAATCATGGTCTGGAGAGATCTTCCTAGAGGTGGGCTTTCAGAATCAGATTGAGTGGCTGTTGTTTCCCATGGTGATGTTTTCCTGTGGGTGGTCCTGACTTACACCTGGTGCACTGTTTAACTAGGGTGTTCCCTGGAGATGTGAGCAGGTTGCCCCATGAGGGACACCTCAAAGCAGAGCAACTGCAACAGGAGAAGGAAATGCTAGAATATTTGCAGGTAACCTGTGGACCAGGATAAAGAGCATTGAAGGGACTGAGTTCACTTTTTGTGCCTTATTCATCTCGTCTGAGAAACAGTAAGTAGGCTCTCAAGAGTTTAACCCTATACCCATGATTGTTATGGTTAAACTCTTGAGAGCCTACTTACTAGTTGTCGCTGTAAACCCTAATGGCCCCAGGTTAGACAGTACCCAAGTCATTCATTCACCTTAAATCTAGTTTAAGAAGTGATCCCGGTGCCTAAACTTGGATGGCTAGGTCTCATGGGGAGAAAACGTGGAGAACACATAAGCATGACTCAGACAAAGCTTCCTTTCTTCCTCTCGACATTCCCTGAGTGCTGCTGTATTGTAAAATCCCTTCTCCTCATCATCAGTCACATATGAACACTGACTCTGAGCCAAGCACTGTCTACATTTCACCATCTCATTCACCTTCACATCAATCCTAGCTGACTGTTCCTAATTACAGAGATAGAAACACAGGCGTAGAGGGATGTAGCTAGTAAGTGACTGTACTGGGCCATGAAGGTGGAGAGTTGACTAACTAAGACAGAGATTCCAGCACTAAGGGGCTCACTCTATGTGTGTGAGTGTTTGTGCATGTGTGTGTGATTTGACAAACCTTGTAGTGGCACCAAAAGCTCAGAAGGGGACACCTACCCCATGCCTGATGTGGCACGTGGAGAAAGAAAGGAGGAATAGGAGGTAAATAGGAGACTGTTGTTGCTCAGTCACTAAGTCATGTCCAACTCTGCAACCCCATGGACTGCAGCATGCCGGGCTTCCCTGTCCTTCACTATCTCCCAGGGTTTGCTCAAATTCATGTCCATTGAATCAGTGATGCTGTCAATCTATCTCATCCTCTGTCATCCCCTTCTCCTTCTGCTTTCAATCTTTCCTATCATCAAAGTCTTTTTCAATGAGTTGGCTCTTTGCATCAAGTGGCGAAAGTATTGGAGCTTCAGCATCTGTTTTTCCAATGAATATTCAGGGTTGATTTTTTTTTTTAGGATTTACTGGTTTGCTCTCCTTGCAGTCCAAAGGACTCTCAAGAGTCTTCTCTAACACCACAGTTCAAAAGAACCAGTTCTTTTGTGCTCAGCCTTCTTTATGGTCCAGCTCTCACATGCATACATGACTACTGGAAAAACCATAGCTTTGACTATATGGACCATTGTTGGCAAAGTGACATCTTTGCTTTTTTAATATGCTCTCTAGGTTTGTCATAGCTTTCCTTTCAAGGAGCAAGCATCTTTTAATTTCATGGCTGCAGTCACTATCCATGGTGATTTTGGAGCCCAAGGGAAGAAAACCTGTCACTCATCTACTTGTTCCCCTTCTATTTGCCATGAAGTGATGGGACCAGGTGACATGATCTTTGTTTTTTGAATGTTGAGTTTTAAGCCAGCTTTTTCACTCTTCTCTTTCACCCTCATCAAGAGGCTCTTTAGTTCCTCTTCACTTTCTGCCATTAGTGTGGTATCAAATGCATATCTGAGGTTGCTGATATTTCTCCTGGCAACCTTGATTCCAGCTTGTGTTTCATCCAGCCCAGCATTTCACATGATGTACTCTGCATATGAGTTAAATAAGTAGGGTGACAATATACAGCCTTGATGTACTTCTTTTCCAATTTTTAACCAGTCCATTGTTCCATGTTCAGTTCTAACTGTTGCTTCTTGACCCACATACAGGTTTCTCAGGAGACTGGTAAGGTGATCTGGTATTTCTGTCTCTTTAAGAATTTTCCACAGTTTGTTGTCATCTATACAGTTGAAGGCTTTAGCATAGTCAATGAAGCAGAAGTAGGTGTTTTTCTGGAATTCTCTAGCTTTTTTTATGAGCCAACAGATGTTGGCAATTTGATCTCTGGTTCCTCTACCTTTTCTAAACCCAGCTTGTACATATGAAATTTCCCAGTTCTCATACTGCTGAAACCTAGCTTGAAGGATTTTGAGCATAACTTTACGAGCATCTGAAATGACCACAATAGTCCTATAGTTTGCACATTCTTTGTCATTGCCCTTCTTTGTGATTGGAATGAAAACTAACCTTTTCCAGTCCTTGGCCACTGCTGAGTTTTCCAAATATGCTGACATTTTGAGTGCAGCACTTTAACAGCATCATCTTTTAGGATTTGAAATAGCTCAGCTGGAATTTCATCACCTCCACTATCTTTGCTTGTAGCAATGTTTCCTAAGTTCCACTTGATTTTATACTCCAGGATGTCTTGCTGTAGGTGAGTGACCACACCATCATGGTTATCTGGATCATCAAGATCTTTTTTTGTAGAGTTCTTCTGTGTATTCTTGCCATCTCTTCTTAATCCCTTCTGCTTCTCTGATTTCCTTATTGTTTCTATCGTTTATCATGCCCATCCTTGCATGAAATGTTCCCTTGATATCTCAAATATTCTTCAAGAGATCTCTAGTCTTTCCCATTTTATTGTTTTCCTCTACTTCTTTACATTGTTCATTGAAGAATGCCCTATGTTTCCTTGCTATTCTCTGGAACTCTGCATTAAATTGGGTCTATCTCTCCCTTTCTCTCTTGCTTTTTGCTTCTCTTCTTTCCTCAGCTATTTGTAACGCCTTCTCAGACAACCACTTTGCCTTCTCACATTTCTTTTTCTTTGGGATGGTTTTGGTCATTACCTCCTGTACGATGTTATAAACCTTGGTCCATAGCTCCTCAGGCACTCTTGTCTACTTCTTTTTCAGGCATATCTGATCCCCTGAATCTTTTCATTGTATATCTTTACTGTATAATCATAAGGGATTTTATTTAGGTCATACATGAATGGCCTAGTGGTTTTCCCTACTTTTTCCAATTTAAGTCTGAATTTTGCAATAAGGAGTTCATGATCTGAGCCACAGTCAGCTCCTTGTCTTGTTTTTGCTGGCAGTATAGAGTTTCTCCATCTTCGGCTGTAAAGAACATCGTCAATCAGATTGATTGATCTGATTTTGGTATTGACCATCTGGTGATGTCTGTGTGTAGAGTTGTCTCTTGTGTTGTTGGGAAAGAGTGTTTGCTATGACCAGTGTGTTCTCTTGACAAAAACTCTGTTAGCCTTTGCTCTGCTTCATTTTGTATTCCAAGGCCAGACTTGCCTGTTACTCCTGGTATCCCCTGACTTCCTAGTTTTGCATTCCAATTGATTATGATGAAAAGAACATCTTTTTTGGTGTTAGTTCTAGAAGGTCTTGTAGGTCTTCATTCTGTAGTTAAAGAAGGAAAAGATTTACTCAGGAAAGATTAAATTATAATACAAGACTTGTTAAGGTCAGCACAAAATGTGAGACCCTGATAACATGTGGGAATTGTCAGTATCAGCCAAAATATCATTGAGACAGTAGAGAGCATGGCAGGAGCCACTCCTGAATTGGGGGATGAGCATGTGGGTGGAGAAGGATGCTGGGCCTGTCTTCTCCATGGTGGCTTGAGCCCAGGCCTCTGAGGTGGTCAGCAATGGGTCAGACATACTGCCAGAACATTCCAGCTTTCAGAGAAGGTATGGAAATGTTTACTTCAATAAACAGTCATTTCTTGCTTTTTTATGATGATGTTTTTTTATGCTGTATTTCCTTGATCCTAAGATCCTATGTATGGACAAAATGGTGTGCCTCCCAAATCCATATGTGAAAGCTCTAAGCCCCAGGGTGACTATCTTTAGAGACAGGACTTTTGAAGAGGTAATAAAGGTTAAATGAGGTCATGAGGGGTGGGCCCTCATCCAATGTGACTGGTGTCTTTGTAAGAAGGGGAAGAGTGACCAAGGATCTAAGGGTGCAAAAGAAAAGGCCATGAAAGGATGCAGTGAGAAGGCACCATCAACAAGCCAAGCAGAGGGCCTCAGAAGAAACCAAACTTGCTCACACCTTGATCTTGAAATCCCAGCTTCCAGAACTATGAGAAAATTAATTTCTGTTGTTTAAGCCACCATGTCTGTGGTATTTTTGTTATGGCAACTGAGCCCATGAATGCAACTGACTTAAGACACACCATCAATTTAATAGCGCTTCTGGTGGGGAAAGAAAAAGAAACACTTCATTACATGTGTATATCAAATGCAAGTGTGCATCCAAATTTCAAAAATGTCAAAATGTGAGAAATTGTGCATAATTCCCAGATTTGTAACTAGTGGAGCAAAGGATGAAAACATATTTACCATTTTTATGATTCTTGAGACACTGTGTGAAAAACTTGGAGTAATGCTATTATTATTCCCTTTCCTTAACTGGACATTCAATTCCAGATTTGATGTGACCAGCAGATGTAAAATAAAATTATGATTTTTCTCTCTAGGATACAATAGACAAGTTAATGCAGTAGAAACACAGGGTATTCTTATCATTTGGTGTTTGTTTTGATTTTAAGCTAGAAGGAAATGGCTACCTTTCAGAAACAGAAGTGGTGTGATGTGCAAGGGGCAGTCCCATTTTCTGGGAATGTGTGATGGCATTGCAGTGCAGGTCTGGGTGAGGTGTGGGTCTGGCTGTATCATTCAGTCCATTGTACAGGAGCCTCAACTGTCTCTGCCAGGTCAGGACCCCATGGGGACAGAAGGCATCTCATCTTTGACCCTCACCAGGGCTGGCTTGAGTAATGCAAGACTCCAACATTTAGGAACCAAGAGCTTGCGATGTGAGCATCTTGGCCACACCTATATCATGGTTTACACTGTCCCTAGTTCCAGGAAATCAGGCAGAAGACTGTGCAGCAGTCTGGCTCAGGAAAGGCTTTCCTCTCTGTGGGTGGGAGCTACTCTTCCTTGTGGTGTGAGCGCTTCTCATTGTGGTGGCTTCTCTTGTTGCGGAGCATGGACTCTAGATTCACAGGCTTAGTAGTTGTGGCGCATGGACTTAGCTGCTCTGCGGCATGTGGAATCTTCTCAGACAAGGGATGGAGCCTGTGTCCCTGGCATTGGCAGGTGGATTCTTAATCACTGAACTATGCAGGGAAGTTAAACATAATGTTTTTAAAAGAATTAGCATGTGATGGATTTCTGGATCCATCACGGTTTTAAGACAATGAGCTAAAAGATAGGACTTGGTGTTTTATTTGGACTGTGCTTTGGTTTAACCTTGTTCTTGGTACAATATCTTTAATATAGATCCATATGTCACATATATTGCTGTTGCATTGTTTTCATATAACCATACTTGACACCCCACTTGACAGTGTCAACATTCACAGTGATTCCTTAATGCATTGACAGTATCAGCCCTTAAAATGTTTTCACAATACTTCCATGTAAGCACATTTGACAGGATCAGCAATTGAAATGTTTCACAAAACTGTGTATTCATGGTTTCTAATACAAGCAGCTACTGTGTTCACAGTAGCTCTGTGTAGTGACTGCTCATTCAGCACACTTTTTCTTTTCTATTTTTGAGAATTTATGAAACACCAGGCTCTGTGATAGGCATTTGCTGACATTGGTTACACAGATGATTGAGATTTAACTGACACTTTCATACAAAACTTTTAGTTTACCAAAAATCAATTAAAGTGTAACCAGCATTTTTTGAGCACTTGCGTGTGTTTATGCACGCTCAGTCTCTCAGTCATGTCCAACTCTTTGCGACACCCTGAGGTATAGCCAGCCAGTCTCCTCTATCTGTGAGATTTCTCAGGTACGAGTACTGGAGTGGGTTGCCCTTTCCTTTTCTGGGGGATCTTCCCAACCTAGGGGTTGAACCCACATCTCTTACATCTCCTGCATTGCTAGATGGGTTCTTTA